ATCGGTCCAGCCAGCGTATGTCCATCTTCTCACTCCTCACTGTTTGTTGCATGATCCAGTCCACTACAATCAGGAATATCATGGGTGATAGTAGGCAGCCTTGTTTTACTCCTGTCCCCTGTCTTCACTTCAAAGGCATCACTGAACTTCCCATTGTGAATTACTTGGCATGTGGCGTCGTCATATACATGTTGAATGAGGTTGATAAAGGTTTGTGGTATTCCGTAGTCGTGAATCATCTGCCAGTCAAATTACTCCTCGGTCGACGCTGTCAAAGGCATTTTCAAAGTCGATGAAATTGAGAATGAGAATTGAGTTGACTGCCATTCTATACTCTGTTCTATGATGATGCTTAGTGTAGCGTTGCAATTTGGTCCACACATGATTTGTACTTCCTGAATCCAGCCTGTTCGAGTCGTAGTTTTGAATCCAGAGCATCATTTAGTCTCTCCAGGGTGATGCGGCTTAATATTTTGCTTGCTTCTGGGGGAGAGCAGCATCATTCCTCGCCAGTTCTTGCAAGCACTTAGGTCTCCTTTCTGTGGGAGTTTGACAAGGTATCCCTTCTTCCAACCAGTTGGCAGGTACCTTTCCATCCTTCCTTCCTTCCTTCCTTCCTTACAGACCTTCTGCAGTAGTGGTGTGAGCATGTTCGATGTTGTCTCTGCGTCTGTTCTCGGTGTTTCTGGAGGAATTCCATCTGGTCCTGCTGCTTTCCAGGATTTCAGTAGCTTTATGGTGTTCAGCACTCTTGATTTTAGTCGGAGGGCTTGCGTTCACAGATAGTCCCATGGCTGGGTGGCTGGTGGTATTTCTGGACGAGTTGCAGTTGGTGGTGGTGGTGGTGGTGGTGGTGGTGGTGGTTGTCGATTCAAGAGCATTTTGAAGTGATCAGCCTATCGTTTCCTTTGTTTCTCCTCTTTGGTCTTAACTAAGTTTCCTTCAGTAACGTTTTTCGTTTCATCTGTGTTCATCTCTTCCCTCCCAGATAGTAACCTGATTATTTGATAAAATGTTGTCAGGTCTCTCCTACCTGTAAGCAGTCTGCTCTGCTTCACTTGCCAATGTGTCGTAGAAGTGTATTTTGTCTTTCCGCACACTCTTCTTTACTTCTTTGTCCAGTGTAGTGTTTTATAGGTTGTACTCAGTTCCTCTTTACGTTGTTGCACTGGTTCATCCTCTGCTTCACCATCTTCCTTTCTTCTATCAGCTTCCATGTATCCGTCGAGATCCACTCCTTGTCTTGCAGCTTCTTTTTCATTCCTAATGTGGTTATGCAGGTTTCCTTCCACATCTCTTTCAGAGAGTTCCAGTGTTCTTCCACGCAGGTTTATTCAGGATATTGCCTAATGTCTCCCATATTCTCCTGATGACTGACTGATGTGAAAGTGTCCTTTGTAGTCCCATCCTTCAGTTCAGTTTCTGTTGTGCGTGTTGAACTTGAACTGTGGTCTATCATCACCAACTTCTTTGAAGGTTTTCAACTTGATTTTCAAGGTAGATTTCTCGCACTAGATAGTGAGTGGTGTGTGTGAATCTACATCTGCTCTCCTTCTTGACCTGATCCTGTGTCCAGTAGGCTGGCTGCGTCTCCACTTTCTTCACATTGGAGATGAAGTCGATCCGACTTTTAGTGTGTCCTGATGTCTGTTGAAGTCCATGTCGCTGCCTTGTGAATATCCTTGTGTTTGTATACACTGCCTGACTCCAATCACCAAATCGTTGAATGCGCAGAAATCTACAAACAGTTCTCCATCTTCATACTTCATTTCACTGAGTGCTTCTCGACCCATGGTTAGTTCTCTCCCTGTGTTGTCCGCTCCGAGTTTGGCATTCATGTCACCCATCAAAATTTTGATGTCCCCAACTGAGGTCTTGTCCAGTGCTGACTGCCGTTGTCTGTAGGACTCCTCCTTCTTCTCCTGATATGCATCGTTTGTAGGTGCGTAGCGTTGCGTTGTATGATTGTGACTTTGCTTCCTTTTGAGTTGAATCTTGCTGTCATGATCCTGCAGGAGGAGATTGGTTCTGACTGGATGAGAGAGAGCTTTCGATGCTCTTGGGGACATCATGATAGCCATTCGAAAACTCAGTGTGCTTGTGGTTGTCGTCTGGGTGACAATATCTGAGTAGATTATTGACTCTCCAGTTGACAGTTTGGAGAGTCTACTCCCATTCCATCTGCTTCGCAAATTCCTAGAATTTCAATGTGATACCTTCTCATCTCTTTTGCAATCTGGGCTGTCTTGCTGGGTTCAAACATGGTGCGGACATTCCATTCCATTCCCCATTCTTACTTTCGCTTTTATCGAGAGAGGCGAATACACATTGGTCAATTGGCTTACTGAAGGCTTTCAGTAACCGGCGTCATTTCACCTCTCCGATTCCAGCGAGGAATAAGTTTATTTTTATTTTTTATATTTTCTTTGTGCATTGTAGTTTCTTTAGCGATTTGGTTGGTTTTCTGGGGTAAGGTTGCTAGCCCTATGCCCAACCTTCCCTCTTTGTCCGGGTTTAGGATTGGCTAATAACTAGTGAACTAGTTAACTGGGCGTGGTTTGATGCTTGTGAAGATTGACTATTAGGTTATATTGTAAAACTGGAACGGCTTTTCCCCCTAACTCAAACTGCGTTCGCATAACTGAGAAGTTCTTGGATAATAACCGTACAAGTTTTGGGTATTTAAGTGTTATTAAACATGGCTATAGTATTGATTCCATGAGGGCTTTTATTATTGATTAGAACCAGTCTCCAAATACCTGGAGGTCAGGTTGCACTGAGAATATTTTTTGCTGAAATTTGGGACTAATCAAAGCAAATATGTTATGTCGCAACGGACCAACCGGAAGACCGACAATAACACAGATGACTGCCAGCTTACCATTATTAAGCTTATTTGATTTCAGTGGTCTGAGTTGGTAACCAGATGATTAAATCCTCAGTGAGGAACCCAGAGATCCAGTGCTGCTCCTCATATGGAGTCTTGGGCGTGGATGATTTCATTTGTAGATAGAATGTTACTGAACTAACCAGTAGGCCAGAAATACACCTATGCAGTGAGTCTCAGGAAATAAACTACTCATGGGGTTCGACAACTGCAAAAATGATGTTACTATAAAGCCAGTCTTTAACTGACTCTAATTTATCATAAATAACACAAACCTACGGGAAAACTAACGGATTTATGAAGAAACCATTAGGTTACATATCGAAAAGATCCGTGGAAGGTTTGATCATTTGCAGAAAAATGCTTGACTGCTAACTGAGTCATTTGACGAATTTTTTCGATCATTCTATAAGTTGCAGACGGTCTCATGGTCATGGAGTCCATATCCCATCATAGGAATCTTCGAAGACTAGTAAACAGCTTTCTGAAGAATCCGAGGCCAATAATCTTTTTCATTCAATCAAGGAACGAGTATCTTGTATCTGTTATTTCACTGTCCTTCAACGGAATGGATTTTGACAAAGTAATTTGCATTATTAGTTAGTTCGAAACTGTAGATAATTGAGATAGTGTTGTTAATAATCACATTCATGGCATGATCCCACGTCATGACTTCTTAAAAGCATTTGTCCACAGCGATCTCAAATACTTTAAAAATGTGACAAATTCCATCCACTCTGTCAAGGACTGACTACACCGTTGCATAGGTGCATGACCACTTATTTAATATTCTGGTAAATTACGTGATGTCTTAAGATTTAATAGACTGACTGACTGATTTTGTTCCAACGAGATTCAGAAGAATATCAACATGAGACTTGATATTGCTTCATAACGATTCAACTTGCCACACCCTGTATCAGAGAATGAAGGCAAAAGGCAACGAAATGAAGAACAGAAAAGTAAGAAAGAAAGTAATCAAAAATAGGTGAATCCAATGTGAAGAGAAGCAGAATGGATAAACCAATAATGAAAGTCAATATGACGCTTCCGCTAAAAAAATTTCTTGAGTGCATCTGTGTATTTGAGATCGGTTCTGAGTTATATTGCCGAGTTCCGAACTCTCGATTTCGATTTTCATGCAGACTTCAACCGGGAAGTTTACATTCCCCAACTTCATGGAGTGATGCTACGTTTTGCTCTGGCCGCTCTTAATCCTGCTTCAATCTAGACCCTTTTCGGCTGATATGAACTGAACCATTTCTTTTACCTTCAACTCTACCCCTGACCTATGATTTCCAGGTCTATTGATTTCATGATATTTGCGTAATCCTACGAAAGCAACAGTGGTAAAATACCTGAGACTTGCTTATTTCTTCTATCTTTAACGACCAAGTTTCACAGCCACATTATAGGACAGAGCGAATTTCAGCACAATGCACTCGACCTTTAATAGGTAATCAACCAGATATTACTGAGTCATGAGAAATGGCATAGGCTGGTGAAAAGCAAATAAGCCTTTTCTATGCGGTTAGAGATTTGATCGGTCACTGACTGACACTCACCAAAGCTGATCCGACTTTTGAGGTCAGGTGAGCTGACTCATCAGATGGTCTATGCAATCAACCTCTTCACTGCTTATTGCTAAACAAGGCGCCAGTGAGGACCAGTTGTATGACAACGATTTGCGTGTTACTGATGAGAGACTTTTGTCAAACACTACCAAATCTCCTGTCACACAAAGTATCCATAAGATTCTGCATCATGTTAGCATCTTCACTTAATCCACTACTACGACTATGTCATCTGAGTATTCTAGGTTCTCTAAGGAGTCTAGTGTGATGAAGCTAGTTCCTGTAAATTTAAATGATGAGAGGGAACCCACTATATGAATAGGGTAAAGATGGTTGTAAATTTTAGTATATCCATAAGATTCGTCTCCTTTCAGGTGACCTTAAGTTGTAGATGGATATCTGAAGGGACAGTTGTAAGCTTCCTAACAGAAGGATTTCACCTGAATTTAAAGTAGATGAACTATCACCTTTTATTGAACCCTTGGATTTGCAACTAACCAAAGAAGGCATAGCTCTTACTACATGTCATTAATAGGGTCGTTTTTTATATGTAATAATACAGCTATACGAGCTAGCTCACAGTTGCCTTAACCTACTAATACTTTGTTTGTGAATGACCGCTTTTCCAAGCATCTGTACATTTTTTAAAACTATACTTGCTGCACCACAGCAACTAAGACTTTCGCTTTTGTTAATGTGTCAGGAGAATCGCAAACAAACTATGCAAACGATTCAAGCCACTGGTGATCAAACTATTCAGTCAGAACCGTACCACAATGAAGGGTAACAATATTGGTTTCTAGCTCAACTGTATGCATATAATAAGTATTTCAGAGAAGTCAGTGGAATCAACAGCGCTGAACAAAGAGATAATCAGTTCAAGTTTATGCTGTGTTAGCGAAACTATCGATGGTTTATCGTATGCACCAACTAAATTTATTTGCAATGACAAGTAAGAAACTGCTTTTTAGAAAGTAGTACTACCGTGTTTATTAATTTCAGATGAGGATTGTAGTAGACCCACATATAATGAATAAGAGAAATTAGATCTCCGTAATATTTAATGACCAAAATAATAAGCAAGGCAACAAAAAGTGGACAAAAATAGAAACGTGACCAAAAAGTCGATAAACACAGTAAAATATGTTCAAAAATAGGGTTCCTTAAAAGCAATGGTAGTGGATCCAGCATAATTGAAAACTAGTCTCCACAATACGATGTCAATGGTCGAATGATGTGACGAAGACGAAATGTGAGAAAAAGGAGGATGAGTTTCGTGTGAAAGTTTCCAAAAAATATCTATCACAGCTGGCCGTAGGAAGATGGAAAAACAATTAACACAAAGTAAAAATCTGTACTATACTACTGCCAAACAGTTTCAGTGTCAACATAGATGTTGGTATCCCAATTCACTACCTAAAAGAGCTTCTCCTTCGATGTACCTTCAATGTACACTCCATATTCAATAATGAGATCTACAGGCAGATAGATAGATGCTTTGGTGATGGGTTCTCCACTATGACTCCTCCTAGCTGACCGCTTTATGGCAAGACTGGAAAACACTAAATTATCATCAGTAATCAATGAACTTTATGTCTACAAAAAATACATGGATGATACGTTTATAGTTTGTGATGAAAATACGAATCTTGCAAACTTGCTTCATATCGTCAACAACGCCCACCCTTCAACCAAATTCACTATACAATCAGAATCAAACTGAATCTTCCATTTCCTTGATAATCAACTTCAAAGAAAAGACACTAATTCACTTCGTAGATCGATCTAAAGAAAGCCTACGTGGAACAAACAATTTCCTAATTTTCAGAGTTCAGTGCCTCTATGCAGGAAAAGAAATCTCATTCATTCACTTTCCTTGAGGATCGGGGAAATATGTACTGAGGATATGGTTGACACAGAACTGAAAATACTTCAACAAACCGTAGCGGAAAACGAGTTCCCGCTCAGATTCATAGATAAGAATATAAAACCAAAGCACCAAACTGAACGAAGATACTTGGAGTCGAAAAATATTCTTTTGTTGAATCTTGAGTTCAAAAATGATATTGCTGCAGAGATCCTGAGGAAACGACTGTCAAAATCCTTAAACAGAACATACTTCGCCGCCAACCTTCAGATAATTTTCTCCTGCAAGAAACTTTTTGGTCAATGTGTGAAAGACAAGCCGATGCATTGGGCCACATCAATGTGTGTATACCGGTTTAATTGCTCTTGTGGAGCTGAGTACATCGGCCATACTATGCATCCGCTTGTAAAACGTGTCCATGAACACTACCCAGCCTGGCTGGTAAAGTCAGGAAGTAAAGAATTCATAACGTAATGAGTAAACAGTTGTTATTGAGCAACGGAATAAGAAATACGTAATTGAGTCAAGCGAAAATCGCTTGCATAATAGCATTATAAAAATTAAAAGATTATCCAGGCTTAAGAACTGGAAATTTTAAAAACTAAGAAGTGAATTAAATCGAGGAATAGCAAAGTTACTTCTGCATACATAAATTCCGTTTCCAAAAATGTCTTGCCAGAGCTTCAGAAACACAAAGTAAACGTCTCCACATACCCTTTGTACTTTGGACGCCAGTGCAAACAAATCTTCTGGAACTGTCTATCCGCTGTAAACCAAATGTTTTTATATTAAGCTGCTGATTAGTCAACCTCGCTTGGTCAACTACTTCAATAGATACCAGCCGGTCTAATGTCCGGATAAAGGGGGAAGGTTGGGCATAGGGCTACCAACCTTACCCCGAAAAACTAATCAAATCGCTAAAGATATTTCAACCCACAAATGAACATAAATCCTCCAACAAAAGTGGAAGTCCTGAGCACCATAAAGCTACTGAAATCCTGGAAAGCAGCAGGACCAGATGGAATTCCTCCAGAAACACCGAGAACAGACGCAGAGACAACATCGAACATGCTCACACCACTACTGCAGAAGGTCTGTAAGGAAGGAAGGAAGGAAGGAAGGATGGAAAGGTACCTGCCAACTGTTGGAAGAAGGGATACCTTGTCAAACTCCCACAGAAAGGAGACCTAAGTGCTTGCAAGAACTGGCGAGGAATGATGCTGCTCTCCCCCAGAAGCAAGCAAAATATTAAGCCGCATCACCCTGGAGAGACTAAATGATGCTCTGGATTCAAAACTACGACTCGAACAGGCTGGATTCAGGAAGTACAAATCATGTGTGGACCGAATTGCAACGCTACACTACGCATCATCATAGAACAGAGTATAGAATGGCAGTCAACTAAATTCTCATTCTCAATTTCATCGACTTTGAAAATGCCTTTGACAGCGTCGACCGAGGAGTAATTTGACTGTCAGCTGATTCAACACTGATGCTGAAATTGAGAATGAGAATTTAGTTGACTGCCATTCTATACTCTGTTCTATGATGATGCGTAGTGTAGCGTTGCAATTCGGTCCACACATGATTTGTACTTCCTGAATCCAGCCTGTCCGAGTCGTAGTTTTGAATCCAGAGCATCATTTAGTCTCTCCAGGGTGATGCGGCTTAATATTTTGCTTGCTTCTGGGGGAGAGCAGCATCATTCCTCGCCAGTTCTTGCAAGCACTTAGGTCTCCTTTCTGTGGGAGTTTGACAAGGTATCCCTTCTTCCAACCAGTTGGCAGGTACCTTTCCATCCTTCCTTCCTTCCTTCCTTCCTTACAGACCTTCTGCAGTAGTGGTGTGAGCATGTTCGATGTTGTCTCTGCGTCTGTTCTCGGTGTTTCTGGAGGAATTCCATCTGGTCCTGCTGCTTTCCAGGATTTCAGTAGCTTTATGGTGTTCAGCACTCTTGATTTTAGTCGGAGGGCTTGCGTTCACAGATAGTCCCATGGCTGGGTGGCTGGTGGTATTTCTGGACGAGTTGCAGTTGGTGGTGGTGGTGGTGGTGGTGGTGGTGGTGGTTGTCGATTCAAGAGCATTTTGAAGTGATCAGCCTATCGTTTCCTTTGTTTCTCCTCTTTGGTCTTAACTAAGTTTCCTTCAGTAACGTTTTTCGTTTCATCTGTGTTCATCTCTTCCCTCCCAGATAGTAACCTGATTATTTGATAAAATGTTGTCAGGTCTCTCCTACCTGTAAGCAGTCTGCTCTGCTTCACTTGCCAATGTGTCGTAGAAGTGTATTTTGTCTTTCCGCACACTCTTCTTTACTTCTTTGTCCAGTGTAGTGTTTTATAGGTTGTACTCAGTTCCTCTTTACGTTGTTGCACTGGTTCATCCTCTGCTTCACCATCTTCCTTTCTTCTATCAGCTTCCATGTATCCGTCGAGATCCACTCCTTGTCTTGCAGCTTCTTTTTCATTCCTAATGTGGTTATGCAGGTTTCCTTCCACATCTCTTTCAGAGAGTTCCAGTGTTCTTCCACGCAGGTTTATTCAGGGATATTGCCTAATGTCTCCCATATTCTCCTGATGACTGACTGATGTGAAAGTGTCCTTTGTAGTCCCATCCTTCAGTTCAGTTTCTGTTGTGCGTGTTGAACTTGAACTGTGGTCTATCATCACCAACTTCTTTGAAGGTTTTCAACTTGATTTTCAAGGTAGATTTCTCGCACTAGATAGTGAGTGGTGTGTGTGAATCTACATCTGCTCTCCTTCTTGACCTGATCCTGTGTCCAGTAGGCTGGCTGCGTCTCCACTTTCTTCACATTGGAGATGAAGTCGATCCGACTTTTAGTGTGTCCTGATGTCTGTTGAAGTCCATGTCGCTGCCTTGTGAATATCCTTGTGTTTGTATACACTGCCTGACTCCAATCACCAAATCGTTGAATGCGCAGAAATCTACAAACAGTTCTCCATCTTCATACTTCATTTCACTGAGTGCTTCTCGACCCATGGTTAGTTCTCTCCCTGTGTTGTCCACTCCGAGTTTGGCATTCATGTCACCCATCAAAATTTTGATGTCCCCAACTGAGGTCTTGTCCAGTGCTGACTGCCGTTGTCTGTAGGACTCCTCCTTCTTCTCCTGATATGCATCGTTTGTAGGTGCGTAGCGTTGCGTTGTATGATTGTGACTTTGCTTCCTTTTGAGTTGAATCTTGCTGTCATGATCCTGCAGGAGGAGATTGGTTCTGACTGGATGAGAGAGAGCTTTCGATGCTCTTGGGGACATCATGATAGCCATTCGAAAACTCAGTGTGCTTGTGGTTGTCGTCTGGGTGACAATATCTGAGTAGATTATTGACTCTCCAGTTGACAGTTTGGAGAGTCTACTCCCATTCCATCTGCTTTCGCAAATTCCTAGAATTTCAATGTGATACCTTCTCATCTCTTTTGCAATCTGGGCTGTCTTGCTGGGTTCAAACATGGTGCGGACATTCCATTCCATTCCCCATTCTTACTTTCGCTTTTATCGAGAGAGGCGAATACACATTGGTCAATTGGCTTACTGAAGGCTTTCAGTAACCGGCGTCATTTCACCTCTCCGATTCCAGCGAGGAATAAGTTTATTTTTATTTTTTATATTTTCTTTGTGCATTGTAGTTTCTTTAGCGATTTGGTTGGTTTTCTGGGGTAAGGTTGCTAGCCCTATGCCGAACCTTCCCTCTTTGTCCGGTTTTAGGATTGACTAGTAGCTGGTGGACTGTTAACCAAGCGTGTTTTGACCGTTCATTACAACTACATATTTCTGTTTTTTGGGACGCTTCATGCAAATTCAGAAAAGCAGTTCTCGATAAGGCTGGAAACTCCGAGATACTCTTTTTTTCGAATGTCCTGGCTGAAATATTTAGCTGAGTGTGGTCTAATGACTATTGGAGTGTATTTTAATGTATATTCTCGGGGTGTTCTGAAAATAGAAACAAGAGTTTTGTGGACGTTTCGCTGTATAAGCCAAGCTTCTTCTGCAGCAGAATCTGTTAAGAATCTGCTCGAAGTCTGATTGTTTATTGGAAGGCTTAACAAACACCTGGACTTCTTTCGATTCAAAGCTAGTGCTTTTATTGTTGTTCATTTTTGGCTGGCTCTGTTATATACTATTTAGATGAGTGTCTTGTCAAGGAATCGAATTTTCCCAAGAAAGTTGCGCATTGTATCAAGATTTTCTCTAATATTCGCGTCCGTATGTATCCAGTAGTGCAAAATTTCTTCATGAGGATGCTTGCTACCATACGTTGTGCACGAATCTTTGGGATTGATGTCTAAAAGAAGTTAACAAATATATATATATATATATATATATATATATATATATATATATATATATGCCAGTGGTCTACTAATGTACTGTTATCAATTAAATGTTACTCAGTTAGTAAGTTACGTATTCACTCCTAATTGCTTGGTCGGAAGATACTTAACTTGTATATTCCTCAAAGGTAAATAGTGTAACTCGTATTGAGATATCTATTCTCTAAATCTGAAAACATTTGACTGAGATGTCATTTCGACCAAGTTGTTTCAACTTTACTATCCTTGATATATGAATGCATTGTCTTATTGATTGATGTAGGATAACTAGATAATTATCGGAGTACATATTTAGTTGCTGAGTAGCAAACGTTTATGGTTTTCTTACGAAACTGCTTGAATAAAATAGTTGTGACTTTAATTTATTTAACTTCCGTTTCAGACTTCTAACAAACATAGATGCTCTGAAAGGTTATGTATTTCTGCGTTATATAAATCTGGGATTCAACCATTTGACAAATTTAAAAGCCTTATCTGATTTATTCAATCTAATTGTACTCAGAGCAGCGTATAACGAGATTGAAGAATTCCCATGTGGAAACTGGCCTAGTCTTACACATTTAGATTTAAGACATAATCGCATCAAAAAACTGACGACAGTAAATTATCCCAGGCTAATGGTTTTGTTTCTTGACAGTAAGTTCTAATATAGTTAACGTGAATTGAAAGTTCTGTTCTCAGTTATATTTAAATACAAATATTTGAACTTAAAAGTTTACGCTACATCATACGCTGAACTACTTACAGGAGGAAGGGGAATTAGAATTCGACTAGCGTATTTGTGAGAGACATGAATCTTAAAAAAACAATCAACCAGTCATTTGCAAAAATAAAGCTCTTGATAGAAACTCAGCTTTTTCTTTATCATTGACGTACATACAATACACTAGAGTAATGATTCACCTCAATGTCAAATATCCATTTGAATAAACAGTGGAAATTTTCCAAGCATGCTGGCTTGATTCATCAATCAATGATCCTACAAGCTACACAAAACGACCTCCAAATAGTCCTGCAGAACCACAGAACTGGCAAATCAAATCGGTAGTTACTGTTTATGCTACCTTTAATCGCCACAAAATTGAATATTTATAAATTACTTGATAAATATTTACAAACTAGAAACAAAGACGGATAGCTCAGGCATTTCACATTATGATGAATCCTAATGCACTCATTCAAGAGAAAGGAAGGTCTAACTATCCAACTAATTTGGACAGTTTATCCGAAATAACACTATACCCACTAATCATAACTAAAGTACAGACAAACAAGAAGAAACTGAATTTCCCATTAGCAGTACCTTTACACCATACTCATACTCAGTCACATATGCACATATATTCACCGTGAATGTATGGAGAGATAATTAATAAAGAAGACATTTATTCCCTTTATCATTATTATTATGAAGTATGAACAATGTGATCTGATTTGTATTCATTTATTATTTAAACATGCGGTAGCTTGTAAAGGTTTTGTTCTCTGAAGAAGTGACTTCCTCGAGGTTGTGAAACGTCAAAAAATTTTTTTACTACCTCATTGGGGCTTCACAAGTATAACTCCTTTATGAAGGATCTACTCAATGCTCAAAGTATTCAATTATATCAGGTCAAATTTTAATCTTAAAGTCTACCCTTGTAAATCATAGGAGCAGCAAAATGAGGTAGTGAAAGGTTATTCAGCTCTCTTGATAGTATTCTTCAGTGCGCATATTATGATGCTATGACAGAATTAATCAGTCTCGTACTTTATAACTCTGATGAAACTGAGCTTCTATAATCCTACTACTTAAAAAATTTCAGATGAAAACATAATTATTTTTATCCCTTGGGTCAATTTTCATCGATGTAAGCTAATATTACTTTGTATTCAAACAAGAGACTCTATTTGTAAGTGTGAAACTTAACAGATTTGTGAGTTTTACTTGAAATGAAATGAAAATTTAGATAGTCTAGCTAAATAATCGCATAGAAATTGAATTGTCATATTTTCTGATCAATAATGATGCCGGTTTATGTTTCTACACGATATGTGCTACTTACTGGAGTGAGCTTACTATTCAAATCGAGGTGGAAGATTAATTATGTAGTTGTTGAATAACTAATAAGCTGAATTACTGACTGATAACTATGGTTTCCAACTACTTATGTAAATCAGTAGTATGTGTCACACAGGTTTTGTAGTAGTTTATCTGGTCTCAAACATTCTTGTTTTCAAAGAAAATCACTATACTATCTCAACAAAAACGTTACACCTAGTTAAGGTCATTCTCACTTTCGGATGAAGATCTGGCGAAAATTTACTTTCATTCGGTTTACATTTCTGTAAATAAGGATGAAATACGTAGATTTATTTCACTAGCTTAAAGCAATTCTATTCCATGAATGGTAATTATGCGAACTTAAAAGAATGCACCATACTTTTGATTTTAAAGTATTCAACCATAGTTTCGTACTTTTAAATTGCTTAATCCTGATATTGTTGTCAAAGGAGTTTAGCATCGACAAGACGCGCTTTTAAATTACTTTTGCCAAGGTGATCGAGTATCTGATAGATAAATTACTGCAAATTTTTAGGAAGTATATTATCAAATCATTTAAGAACAAATACAGAAATTAAGAGCGTTTACAAATAAGTGCAGTCATTAGATCTTTTCCGAACCAATTTACCTGAAGACTCAGGCTCTGATTAAAAGTTAAGCTTGTGAACCAAGAATAACTTAACGTAACTAAGACGTATGGCCACATATTTACTATTAGATGTGTTTATTACGTAACACACCTAAACTTCACTGTAACTGACTAGGTAAAAAACATTATCAGGTCGGTGCAGTATCTCTCTCCTGTTGGGATCATGTATTCATGAATAAGTATAGCTTTACATCACTTCTAAAAATTTTCTCTTCACCGAAGAATAGGCTGTATATAATCATTACTGGTTCATAGGTTGTGATGAATGGTAATAACTGAACCAATGTTGCTCAACAACTTCACCAATATCGTATCCTTTCGTCTACTACGCAATACTATATGGCTGCCTATTACACAGCGCTAACGACTTGGAGAATGCAAATAATCAATGGTCTGCTTCATTAAGAAAAGGTCAACGTTAAATCAGTCACTCTATTTTATCATCCTGTAGTATCTGAGATACTTTACTTATAACACAAATGTTTTTACCGTTTACGGTGACTGATTTGATAATTTGTATTTTCTGAACACCATTTAGTGAAACAAAATGGTTTACATAAAATAGTTCCCGCAGTTATATGTAATAGTAACTATCAGATGAGTTTGATTTGTCATAAAACAAAGCTGAATGCATGAATGAATGTAAAGTAAGTGTCAGCGTTTCAATTAGTTCACTATTGTCTATTGTAACAAACTTTAGTTAATTTGATGACAGTTTTCATCTCGCACCAACATCTGTCGAAAAATCACACACGATAATCACCTTAGAGTTAATGTGATCAGGTTTTGATTCAAAATAATATTTTACTGCATTTTCAGTGCATTCTTGTCCATTTTGGTCAGAGAAAACGTAATTCAGTTGTAAATATACTTGTTGTTTAGCGAACTATCAAATCATGAATAAAGTTTGCAACACTGACTTTGTAAATATTAAATATTTAATGGGATCACTAACATTCATAATCCATTTAGAAGCATAATAGTTATGATAGTATAATGAAAAAACAAACAAAGGAAGACATGTATGGAAACAGGTCTATCTATCCAAAACTGAATATTCTCTTATACTGTGGTATAATTATTGACGACGAGTTCGTGGAAAGATGAAAAAGCCAAAACTGTCTTTTGCATAACCAAGTAAAAAGAGAATGATTTATGTCTATTTTTGTAAAAAGTATTTTTGGATTGAAGTTGACCTCAAAGAAATCACTGTTGAGGGCAACTTCAACTGTAATATCTGAACTAAGGTTAAATCTTATCAAATTTCTACTAACCAATGATTTCCTTCCTTAGAATCACGTAAAGTATGACCAACAGTAAAATACAGATTAATTATTTCCTTTTTCTGTTTCATGACTAAACGAAAATAGTCAGTTTACACCTTCCCCTCCAGTTGTAAATACTAAGCTTTTGGACACTGATGATCGGTAAAGCTTTTTTAAGTGTACTTTAGACCTAAAAAGTGACGTATATATTTTGTTATTCTGCTGAGACATTGTGCAAAGATGGAGGCCACCATAGCAACTGTCGAATTGACCAATTTAGTTTCCTTATTTTTTTGGAAAACTGCCTTTCCAACCTAAATCAAGAAATTCAATTAGTCATTTTATTTGATGCAAGGGTAGTGTTTTGGAGTCACTCACGAAGATTAGATGAATTCAGAAAAATATCGCCTAAGGACAAACGTTTCTCTATTCAAGCACAGTAACCAGATGGGTTAAACATTATTAACGATACAACATATCTTCCCTAAATAGGGGAAATAAAATATTCAGAGTAAACAAAATTCGTTCTCGAATAAGTGCTATAAAATCAATCCTTAACATGACACATTTTCAGACGTAGTTTTCGTTTGTGCTGCACGACGTACAACACTTGTCTACATAGGTGTTTGTAACTTCGAAAAAGTTATACTTGTGAACGTATATGTCACTTCTAAACTACCTGAAAAAAATGTAGCTGAAAGGGAAAAATTTCCAATGGAAGAAGTTTATCACATGGCTAAAGTCGTTTTACCAAAGCTAAAACGGGAGTCCACTACAGTATACTATTAAGTTAACGTGACGCCCGTTGCACAAGAAACAGGGGCTCTTTTGCCTCGGTAACCTAGCGTATAACTCTTCGGTTTTTGAATCAGTGGGTACTGGTTTCGACTTTCAGTGGAAACAACATCACTCACTGGGGCGCATGTACATCCAGTTGATGAATCTCAAATAGGACGAGACGCGTCTTATGGATTCCACTACTAGCCATCAAGCAGACTACAGTATTATGCTCGATAGCTGTTTTCGGGGATTTCGGGAACTCTTAACTGTATACAGTCAAAACCCTACACCAGACTGTATGTAAAGCTGGCAGGCTTGCACCGGGCAAGTTACTACTCACCCGCTGGGTTAGAATCCGATGTTCATTATTTCCAAGTTTCGTTTAACTCGTGTTATCCGTTCTCATCCCTGAATTAGTCAGTTTTATTTCCTATTAGTACTTCAGGAATACCATCCATACGCCAGCCAATCGTCAGAAGGAGATCTCTACCTTTCTGATAATTTACTGAGAACTAACTGATTTCAAGAAAGATTTCTGGAATAACAACTACTTTTTTGTCGAATTTTTTTACAGATAACCAAATACGCAGACTAACTAACCATACTGATGGATCGTGTTATTTCAATAATCAGTCAACACCAAAGTTGCATACACTTGGATTATCACATAATTTAATTGAAATAGAAGATACTGCAACAGATGGTCCTCGTGCAAACATTACTATTGGATTAGAATTAAAAAATCTTAAAGCTTTATTTCTTGGCTATAACAGGATAGTTAGTTTTGGAAATTATAATTTAAAGAGTGAAACTCAGAGAATTCATCTAATAGTTTACTTGACAACTCATCTAATGATAAAAAGCAATATAACTTGAAGTACAATTCACTTCTTGGTTATCTTCCAAATTTGTCTGTTTTACACATCAGAAGTACTGGACTTGTAAATCTTGATGGGATAACCTCTGAATGTTTTCCAAAATTACAATATATCAATGTTAGGTAAGTCAAACAAAAAGACAATTGCATTCATACATCACTTTAGAGGAATAATGACTAAACAACGATTAAGAAGAGTGAGGTGGTCTTGTTTGTTGAGCGTAAAATCAACCTAGAAGGGTTGAATTGTACCAACGTTTAGATCACAGTAGTAAATTCACCATACAAATATTATCAGTTCTATGCAGAATGTTAGAAGTAAAAAAATGTACTTCTGGCCAATAAATATGAGCCTAAAGGAAGATGAAGGCAGTTGTGGCGCCAGGTTCAAAAAACTGCAGATAAGAGAGTGCAATGGAGGCGTGCTACTGAAGCCTTATGTTCCACTGGGAACCCAAGGGAAAAATAATATAACAGTAAAAAGAAGATGAATGAAACACAAAAAATTCATTAAATAGTAGGACTATACCTAAAGGAATTTTAAATGAATATCTGTTTTTGTTTTATTTTGGAATTAGCTCCCTCAACTTATGTATGACAAATTAAGTACTCAAGCTAAACAAAAGGCTATGAAATGCAGTTGTTATTTACTGATTTGTAATTTCCCGTTTTTTACACTGAATGGAACTGATTGACCTCTGCGTAACAACCAGAAATTACAAGTATCATGGAATAATAACAATAACTGATACCCCTTTGCACAGAGTAGGCTGTCATGCCTCAGTGGCCTAGAGCATAACGTTTTGACAGTTGAAGCAACCGGTACTGGATTCGAGTCTCAATGGAAACAACACCACTCACTGGGTGCAGGTCCATCCAGCTGATTAGTTCCAAGTAGGATGGAACGCATTGCCTAAATTCCACTGCTAGTCAAAAATAAGCAAATTACAACATACTGAACGTTCCTTTTCACCGCCTATCTTGATATGCCATACTAGTGGAAGATGAATCAGGTTGGAAGAGAGTTCAGGGTGACCAAATCATCACATGGCACCAGTTAATGAAGTTCCTAACTGTTAGTCTGAGTCGTGTGGTGAGATGAAGACTGCCTAGTTGAGCTCCTGAAGATGCAAGGAATCAGTGAGTGAGAACTCTTGGTGATATGACTGAAATTCGGTCACAATGGTCCAGATGTATTCACTCTTTGACACTCTTTGACATCTCCTCCAGCTTGAATATTTACACTGACCATTATCTTCAGAGTGTTTATTCTCTAACACAATTTTGTCTATACTCGATTTCAGTCTTTTTTATCTACCTGTTCTTTTTGTACTACTATAAAGTGTGTCAACTTGAGCCAGCGCACCTATGTATGAGATTCTATGTTGATTTTGTCAGTCAGTCACATAATCAATCAGGTAGTGAGATGAACAGTTAGAAGCTGTGAGTAATTTACACCTTACCGATGTGGAAAATTAAAGTGAAATTAGATGCAAGAATTAAAAAGTTTAGCTGGAAGCAACGGGATTTTCAACCAGAAGTTGTTGTTGAACATTCATGATAGTTACTCTTTGCTGTGGTACATCTGTACGGTTGAGGAATGGAATTACATAGATTGTATAAGTGGATTGGATCAGTTAATAAAGTGGATATAAAACTGAAATCAAAAGTGTTTTTTTTTTAAAACACCGTTTTGGCGTCGACAAAGTTCAAGATAATTATCTTTGAATAAATACATAAAAATAGCAATGAAAAGTCTTCATTCCTCTGGTACATAAATAATCACAGTGACACTGTCCTCATGTGAACATTTTTTCATATCAAATTTAAGATTATAATAATTACATATGACAGTTATCAGTTGTCTTTAATTGCAAAATAAAAAAACCTTAAAATTTGAGACTGAAGTACAGATGTAATTCTTTTGCAAAAAAATTAAATAAAAAGCGCTTCACGAAATATTGGTCAACAGACGTAAGGTTAATTCGTATGCTGAACCTCTTAACTACTGAAAAATGAGTTGTTGACACAGGACGAACTAGCGTTTGATTTACCTGCTCATAAATTATCCAATAAACTGGGGTAAAACTGAAAAACTCAGTCTGAATGCATGCAATCTAACTAGCCAAGCGTTTCCTGAGTCTATACTATTTTCTCCTCTTCTATTTTCCACTGATTTCTTTTGAAATGCTATTTTGATATTCCCATGTAAAATTATTCGGTAATAATAACATTATTATAATTATTTCAAAGTCATTAAATCTAAAATGGATAACCTTGAGAAATATCATCTATATTTGGCATGATACTAGAAATGTACAGCCCACCGAATTGAGCTCATCATTCGATAGTCTTTTCAATAGGAATTTAAGCAATTTTAAATCTACACTGAATTACTGTCTGTAAATCCGTCTAACAAAAATATTTTGTTTCATTAATCAGAGAGAATCAAATCGGAAGTTTAGAAGAAGTGAAAAAGTTAGTCAGTTTCCAGCATTTGCGAACTGTGATTTTTACAGGTAATTGTACTGAAAACTATATATCTGTTTCTATTTCACAATTAGGACAATCATTTCGAAGGATTATTTTGCTAGATTCAAATTTATGAATGTATACTAGTTTTTCTTGTTAAATTGCACATCACCAATCATTTCAAACGCCAGAGCTGTATCCACTAGGTCACTGAGTCATGACTGCCATTTCTTGTGTGATGAGTATAGTTTTTATGTTGTTACCTGTACTACAATACAATGCTAAATAAAAAGTGTCAAGTCATGCTGATAAAATTTACAGTGACGCTTGTCGAGAACAGAATTATCGGACACCATAAGGAACTGATGGAAAAAAATTTAATCGATGATTTAACTTACAAAACTTTATTAAGCCGGAAGAGTCAAGAATGATGTTAACTTGTGGTTAACCGAGAGTGCTTAGGTTCGATTTGCTCATAAGACCTACAATGCCACTTGTAAATTCACTATTTCATAAACTGGTGTGATTGTTAAGACCCATTCGAGGGGATCTGGCTGTTTATAGTCTAAAGGACTCATTTCAATATGGCAAGCTTTTTTCGAATTCGTGTAAAGGAAGAATATATGAAGACCAATTTTGACTCTCGTATGAACCGAAATATATTGGCTTTCCAGATAAACGGTAGGTATAATGTGATGTTTTTCATTGCTTATGAGCATAATTGTAGATAAGACAATCCAAATCATACGCCAACAATCAAAACTTCTCTCTGCCAGAAAGCGAATTGAAACAATTTTTTGCTTATAAGGTATTCCGTCTCAGGCTCATAGGCAACTGAAACGCCAAAATGATGAAGTGACCATGAGTACACTATTAGGGCCAGTTCTAGTTCCAAACGTAATGAAGACACTTTTCAGTGGCGGAAGAGCCTTACACTCAAAAGAATGAACTCTTAACAGTACACTTACTAAGTGACAGCGTCTCACCAAAAGAAAATTACACCATCCACTAGGAAACTACTTTTATTCAAATTTCACACAATGTTTTCGTATTGCGAAAACAAATTGCTTTCACTCTTACCACTACTAATACACAATTTACTTAAAGTTGAAAGTTATAATGCATTTTGCTTTGTTGCACTCTGGTTTCAGTTTGCCGTATTATAGGTGAGTGGAGACATGAACAAAAATATACTCCACTTTAAGTTGATTGTGATGCATTCACTTTTATTGGATTATTTTGGTAACTGTCAGTACTAAAAACTGAAAATCATCCTGTTTTAGTTTGGTGAATGACTGTACGTATGTGCATGTAATCAACTAAGCTATCCGACTTAATGAGACAACGTACAATTGAAAAGCAGTAACTCAGGTTCGCATTAACCCCTTAAATCTGAAAACAAAGTTGTGGAAGGTAAAAAGACAGGGGAACTGAAGGTTAAGTGGTAGCAAGTTACATGGATGGATATATTGGTAATTTAGTATTCCCACAAGAAACCCAACTTTATGTTTCGTTGGTTTCAGAAACAACCCTCTTTTGACACCCATTTCCCTGGTTTACTTGATTAACACCAGTATTTTTGTAAACACGAAATTACGCCTAACCGAGGATATTGAGAATAATGTTACTAAGAAATGGCAAGAAAGGTGTTTGTATTCTTTTTGCTTTCATCTTCAGGTTAATCAAACCAAGTTTAAACCTACCAATGCCTGATAAAAAGGAATCAAAATTTATTTCCTAAAAATAATCTTATTGACCATTGCTTTTCGTAACAGGTGGAAGGACAGTTTGAGAAGTTGTTTGTTGTTTTTGTTCCCTTTAAAGCCAAAATCATAAGTACAAAGGAATAAGCGATCAGGAGACTTATCGAAAAATTCCAGATTTTGCAGTCTGACATTTTCATTTTCATCAGTTTGTGACAGTAATTCAATTTAGTATTTCAAAAATTATCGTATTGCCATCCTATTGAGATATCTTTAACATAACCTTAGTTTGATGGTGTGTGATCTCAGCCCTGTACCATCTGAGGTTAATATTATTTCTATCAAAATCACCTTCTATGACCGTTGCTTCTAACACCATCTACCACCGATTTATTTTTCAGTACTGCCTTCAAAAGTAGCTTTTTAAAACTTGATTCACTCATGAGAACATTTGATAAAATTGAAATGAACGCGAGAAATCTTGATATCATTCACTAATTAGAGAGTTTGTACACCATTAAGTAATAAACTGGGTTGCTCTATATAATTGTAGAGGTATGTTAAAAATCATCAGTTGTAATGATGATTGTTGTAAAAGGTTTTCAGTACTAATAAACTTCGTCCTTTATGTACACTGTAGTAAGGGGGGGGGGACAGTGATAGTAGGCGGAAGTACAGCCTTACTCGGAGCAGGATTCAAACAAATATTCTTCAATCCACCACCATGATATTCGACGCACCTAGCAGCAATAAGCAACTGATGGTCTGGTCTTAATTCCACTTCAGTTATCGACGTTTCTCCTGATCGTCCTGTGAATGATTGCGTTTTCACCGTCATCATACAAACTACTTAGTCAAATCTTTTTAATTTGGAAGTTTATGGGGATTTATTTACTGATTTCAGTTTCGTATCCATCATGGGCTGACATCAATTAGAGAAACATTGGAAACCTGAGAGCATTGCATAATAGCTGTTGTGTTCTAGCATGGGACTCCTCAGCAGTGCGCACCCAACACGTCAGTTCATGGTGAATACCAACCTTAGATCCGATCTTTTTACCCCAGTAGTAATCGGACCAAATTAGATATCAGAATCAACTGATTGGTTTCTGGTGAATGTACACCTTCACTATAGCCACTTCAGATAGCTGTTATCAAAATTTTTCCATTGGTTTCAAAAGTATACCGAAACCTGGATGCCTATGAACATAACTGCACAGTGCTGTGGTACACAAAATTGGGAACGAAGAAACTGTGGTTTCATTTTCCTCATCTCAATTTTCCGCATCCAAAGCACCATTACTGTTTCAACGTCTTATCTAAAAAATCCTTCCATCTGCATACAATCGATCTTATTTCTGTATTTGTATGCTGACAAACCATACTTACTGTCAACAAATTCACTCATCTTTAAGGATAATGCAAACAAGACTTTACGGAAATATCACAGTTACCATTCAACAGCCAGTTCGAATCCGGAATCAAGTCCCTCAGAGAGTCAATTGTAACTTGAATAGATTACTGTCAAGGTCTCTAAAAAATTGAGTGACACATATTTGAATCTACGGTAGAAAGTAAATTTCATTGTGTTGTAGATGTAATTTTCAATTAAAATGAGGATCCTTTTTTAAGACAGAACCAACAGTCAATTAAATACCATCATAAAACATCGCAGCTGCGTAGGATTCAGCTAAGTGACTAACCAATCGGTAGAGTTTGATCGTCTTCAAGTTATCGCCTCATGACCAATTCTTTCAAAAAAATATCTCTGTCGAGAGATCTAGGTAGCAACACAAGTTTGGTTACTTAATGCAGTATATCAGTAACAATGTGCTGAATTACCTTTTTTTGTAGATAATCCAGTTTTTGACGCCAAAGATTATAGATTGGAAGTTCGAGTTTGCTTACTCAGTTTGAGAAGACTGGATAAAGATGTTTACACAATTGAAGAAAATGAAGAAGCTAACGAATTGGCTATGCAAAGAATGCAGGCAGCATAATCTTTTTAAATTATGACAAAACATCTATTTATAACATCGTTTAAAAAGGTGACCGATTCTACTTTTTACAAACAATGAAGTTTTGTGGGATTTGCTATGTTAATAATGTTGATCATGCTTTGCCTACAATTCCGTAAAACCATGGTGTACTTACCGGCCGTTCTGAAATTTATATGTTCAATTGTATACCGCTACAAAGATGACAGCATTTCGCTGTAGCTTCTGTATAAAAAGCCAACCCGATATCTGAAGACCCACTGACAATAGAAAACCAACTTAAGAGAGCGAAACGTGAAGGAATATACTACCATGACTTTGAGTAAGAACCATAGATTGTAAATATGCGGTACATTTTACTGTTTTTAAAGTCTGTTCTTTGGAAACAGCCTAAAAGTAGGTTGTTTAATCTAATTGTCAATAAGTCAGTTCTGTGACTTCTAAAAGTGCTGTTTGGATGAATCTTATTGTAGACAAATAAGTATTTTAGGATTAGGACCAACATTTATTATTGTACTGTAGATTCCTTGAGAAATAACTACATCCTGAAACTTCTAGTTGCAAAATAGCAGCAGAGTTGATTCTGGCGCCCAGTGATTCATTGGACAGAGTTGCTTGGTAACGGAAACTGTAGTCAAATCATTTGTTTTCTACATTTAATACAACTATTGGTGACGTATTTTTACGATGAAAAACATCCTATGTAAATAAAAACAGTGCACTCACCAAGTTTGTGCACATTTTTGCAGTAGGCGATGAGCTACAACTATCGAATGAGGGCTAAGGATACTCACTACCTGGCTACCCAAACCTTCAAAGGTGGAGGGGGGTTCGAACCAGTAACTTATTGGTTGAAAGTCAACTTCCTGAACCAATGAAGTAAATATCCACTGGTCTTATACTAAAAGTGAGTTACTCTTCACGCATAAATAAATTTACTGAGAACATAGTAAGAAAAGCAGCTGTTTTAGTATGTGAAACTTGTTGCACCCAAATAAAAGCAGATTCCTTTTACACAAAATCCAATACTTCCAAAATATTGAGGCGCAATTACTCAAATGCCGCGTAAACGTGTAGATCTCAAAAGGGTATGTGCACTGATTAGCTTAAATCCTCAAGTACATTAAGAAATCCACACATATCGATGGATATATCATCAATTTAAAATAAGAGATAAGACAATAACATTTTATGAACGCTGCAGTGAAATACAATTAAAACTATAAATTAGTATTGTGTAGCATCATTTATTTTATCATCTACATATTTCGCCATTATAAATGCTTGGATCAGGATTGTATGCCTGGTTGTCAGTCTCTGAGAATAGAAAAGCTTCTTCTATAAAATCTTCAATATTTCCACAAAGTTTTATCACGTACATCAGAAGTTTTGAAAATAGTTTGTGTGGTATACAACATCCCTCTATATCTTTCATTACTTTATCCAAATATTTATATGATATTTTAAATTCGTATTACTTCTGGTTTCAGCAAAAAGAACATGCAAACTCCTATTACACAACTGCAAAAGAAAACATTTTGCATCAGCATCACCTCTCCTTGATATTTTCAGCTTCCTAAACGTCAGGCGATTTCCTAAAATAAGTGAAGTAGATTCAAGCTAAAGGAAAACCTACAATATGTAGACGTTTGCGTATTTCAATATCCACTGACTAAATCAAAACAGCAATAGAACATGTCAACAGACAGAACATTTCGCATGTGTGCCAAGATTCATCGTCACCCTAACCTAGCAGGGCTAATCCGACTTCCTGCGTAAGTGAAGTGGTCAACACGCTCAGCCATTTCATTGCCTATTGTTAAACGGAACACCAGCGAAGGCCAATCGTGAAACAACAATTTAAATTTGAATGGTGAGAAACATATGGTAAATATTCTCAAATTGCTACGCAAGATGTCCAGAAGACTGCATCTTCACCTAATAGGAGTATGTCATCTGCGTATTCCAGATCTAGCAAGGATTCTCCTGTGAGTTGCTCAGTCCGTGTGATGTCAGATTATTAGGGGGAGACCACCATAAGAAAGTCTATGATGAAATTGAACATGAATGAAGAGAGTGGGCATCCATGATGGACTCCATTTGATGTACACAGCTCACCATAAGCTCCAATACACCTACGGGTGTTCGAGCAGAGTCTTTAACAGAGTGATGTACTTATTCCATACCACTTCAATTGAGAGGCACCGCCATATGACCTCTCGATGGATGGGCTCAATCAAAATCTTCTATAAAGTAGAGAGATATAGTTAGTTTCAGACGTCAGTGTGCTTATGTTCCAGGACCTGGTGGAGTGTGAATATCTGGTCGATACACCCACGACCAGGTTTGAAGTCTCCCCAGGCTTTATTGGGCTTGCTGTTTCCAAGCTCAACTCAGGCATCTCATGATTATGGAACCTAGGATCTTAGACACTACATTCATTCGACTGATTCCTCTGCGGTCATCATCTTTATTAAAGACTGGGACAATCAGTTATTGAGACCAGTCAATTTGACCATTATGATTATTATTATTATTATTTGTTTTCCTTTGGGTTCCTAGTGGAACATAGGGCTTCAGTAGCACGCCTCCACTGCACTCTCTTCTTTGCAGTCTTTTGAATCTGGCTCCACCACTGCCCACAAGCTTTCATTTATTCCTCACATGATCTCCTCCATGTCACCCTCAGCTGGGACGCCTAACTCATCGTTTCCCCTTTGGATTCCACTCGAGGGCCCGGCCTGGCACATGCTGTCTTCAATCGGCCTACTCAGCGTATGCCCAATCCATCTCCACTTTCTTCTGTATATTTGTTGGGCAATGGGTTCTTGGTTAGTTCGTTCCCAGAGTTCCCTGTTACTCATTCTTTCTGACCATCTGATCTTCAGTGTCGAGCGTGGACAGCTGTTGATGAATGGCTGTCGTTTGTTGGAAATGCCTTTCCCAACGCGCCAAGTCTCTGAAACAGATAAAAACACTAACTTGACTGAATTAGTGTTCAAAATACGGATCTTATTCACGCTTTATGCTGAGTACAGACGATCTCCACACTGGTTTCAGATTATTGAACGCCTGCCTTGCTTTTCCAATTCTGAATTTGACGTCCTCGTCTGTGTCGCCTGTCGTTGAAACGATGCTGCCTAGAAGGGTGAAAGAGGCTACTTCCTTTAGATTTCTCCCGTTGATGGTCATTGGAGCTTCTTGTTGTTGTTGATGGTGGAGGTGGTGATGTTGATTGGGTATTTTCATTACCTCTGTCTTCTCTACGTCCACCTGAAGGAATTCCCGTCTTTGCAGCCTCTTCTGTCAACTTGTTAGTTTTCGCCTGTAGATCTTCAAGTCTGTATAACATTAGATACAAGTTATCGGCGAAATCCAAATCTTCTTCTAGGGTCTTTTCATCGGTCCAGCCAGCGTATGTCCATCTTCTCACTCCTCACTGTTTGTTGCATGATCCAGTCCACTACAATCAGGAATATCATGGGTGATAGTAGGCAGCCTTGTTTTACTCCTGTCCCCTGTCTTCACTTCAAAGGCATCACTGAACTTCCCATTGTGAATTACTTGGCATGTGGCGTCGTCATATACATGTTGAATGAGGTTGATAAAGGTTTGTGGTATTCCGTAGTCTTGAATCATCTGCCAGTCAAATTACTCCTCGGTCGACGCTGTCAAAGGCATTTTCAAAGTCGATGAAATTGAGAATGAGAATTGAGTTGACTGCCATTCTATACTCTGTTCTATGATGATGCTTAGTGTAGCGTTGCAATTTGGTCCACACATGATTTGTACTTCCTGAATCCAGCCTGTTCGAGTCGTAGTTTTGAATCCAGAGCATCATTTAGTCTCTCCAGGGTGATGCGGCTTAATATTTTGCTTGCTTCTGGGGGAGAGCAGCATCATTCCTCGCCAGTTCTTGCAAGGACTTAGGTCTCCTTTCTGTGGGAGTTTGACAAGGTATCCCTTCTTCCAACCAGTTGGCAGGTACCTTTCCATCCTTCCTTCCTTCCTTCCTTGCAGACCTTCTGCAGTAGTGGTGTGAGCATGTTCGATGTTGTCTCTGCGTCTGTTCTCGGTGTTTCTGGAGGAATTCCATCTGGTCCTGCTGCTTTCCAGGATTTCAGAAGCCTTATGGTATTCAGCACTTTTGTTTTTAGTCGGAGGGCTTGCGTTCGCAGATAGTCCCATGGCTGGGTGGTATTTCTGGACGTGTTGCAGTTGGTGGTGGTGGTGGTGGTGGTGGTGGTGGTGGTTGTTGTCGATTCAAGAGCATTTTGAAGTGATCAGCCTATCGTTTCCTTTGTTTCTCCTCTTTGGTCTTAACTAAGTTTCCTTCAGTAACGTTCTTCGTTTCATCTGTGTTCATCTCTTCCCTCCCAGATAGTAACCTGATTATTTGATAAAATGTTGTCAGGTCTCTCCTACCTGTAAGCAGTCTGCTCTGCTTCACTTGCCAATGTGTCGTAGAAGTGTATTTTGTCTTTCCGCACACTCTTCTTTACTTCTTTGTCCAGTGTAGTGTTTTATAGGTTGTACTCAGTTCCTCTTTACGTTGTGCATCCTTGCACTGGTTCATCTTCTGCTTCAGGTTTCCTTCCACATCTCTTTCAGAGAGTTCCAGTGTTCTTCCACGCAGGTTTATCCAGAGATATTGCCTAATGTCTCCCATATTCTCCTGATGACTGACTGACGTGAAAGTGTCCTTTGTAGTCCCATCCTTCAGTTCAGTTTCTGTTGTGCGTGTTGAACTTGAACTGTGGTCTATCATCACCAACTTCTTTGAAGGTTTTCAACTTGATTTTCAAGGTAGATTTCTCGCACTAGATAGTGAGTGGTGTGTGTGAATCTACATCTGCTCTCCTTCTTGATCTGATCCTGTGTCCAGTAGGCTGGCTGCGTCTCCACTTTCTTCACATTGGAGATGAAGTCGATCCGACTTTTAGTGTGTCCTGATGTCTGGTGAAATCCATGTCGCTGCCTTGTGAATATCCTTGTGTTTGTATACACTGCCTGACTCCAATCACCAAGTCGTTGAATGCGCAGAAATCTACAAACAGTTCTCCATCTTCATACTTCATTTCACTGAGT